AGACTCCAACTCAAACAGAACAAAAAAGCTGATAAAGCCTCAAAATGTCTTAGTAATAAGTACTATTTGAACAATTCTAAAATGATTTTGTTCTGTTTAACTTTACTGTAGGTTCTTTTGAATATCCATGATAATGAAATTATTGTGGGCATTGCATTGACTGAAGAGAGTCTCCACCGAAGAAATATCACACATTTTGGACCTACAACTCTTAGATCAACTCTTGCCTATGGGATGCTCAGGTAGAAGAATGAGTTTGCTATCCAGAGTAAAGTGGCAATTTGGTTTGCGTTTTCCCTTCAAAACACTAACTTGTCTGTGTGTTTAAAATACTGTGTTGGAATTTAGTGGACACAGAACAGGATAAAAAGCTAATGAGCTGTTTTTCTCCTATCTAGTATTGACTCCTTGTGTCCTGAAAATATCACTTAATCAGTGTCTTAGCAGTCTTGATTTTAAGAATAGTGTTGCCACATTTCTGTTTAGAAGGGATGTACTGTATGTTGGGAGAGATAACAAATTTTGCTGTTTCATTTTCATGCAGTGAAGCAGATGAAAGCAGAGATTTTTGTGTGTGTAATGTGTAAATAAGCACAAAGAACTTTTACTTATATTTTTAATTTTATACTCATAGCAACCCAGGAATTATCCTAGAATTTTTCACTTTTCAAAGTACATGACCTAGCTTTCCTTGTCCTCTGCCGTTTTCCTTTTTATTGGATGCTTCTTTTCACCACTTGGACATGTTTATCTTCTCTATGCTTCTGTTTTCTAGACTGCAAAATGGGGTTGATGTGAGACTTAAAGAATTATTAGTGAGGATTAAATGCTGAAACATATGCAGAAAAACTATTGTATACTGTGCTTGGCATTTCCTGGTAGTTAAGTATAGTTATGTGTCACTTAACAACAGGAATGCATTCTAAGAATCATTGTGCAAACATCATATAGGGTATTTGTACAAACCTAGATGATATAGCTTACTGTATACCTAGGCTGTATGGTATAGCCTGTTGTTCTTAGGCTATAAACCTGTTCAGCATGTGACTGTCTTGAATATTGTAGGCAGTTGTAACAGTGGTATTTGTATATTTAAACACAGAAAACATGTAAAAATACAGTAATGTAATTTTATGGGATCATCTCCGTATATTTGGTCTGGTGTTGATTGAAATGTTATTGTGCATTGCATGACCATAATTGTATTTCCTTGTCTTTCAATCTTTGCTTCCCTTTTATTTTTCTGATTCAAGCAATGACAGTTCATAGTCACAGTTCATAAGCAGAACGTATTAATAATAATGGAAAATTGGACCTTTTTTTTTTAAGAGACAAGGTCTTGCTCTGTTGCTCAGGCTGGAGTGCAGTGGCACAATCATAGCTCATTGGAGTGTCAAATTATTGGACTCAAGTGATCCTTCCACTTCAGCCTCCTGCATACCTGGGACGACAGATGCACACCTCCACACCCAACTAATTTTTTTAAAAAAATTTTTTGTGGGCCGGGCTCAGTGGCTCAGCCTGTAATCCCAGTGCTTTGGGAGGCCGAGGTGAGTGCATTGCCTGAGCCCATGGGTTTGAGACCCGCCTGGGCAACTTGGCGAGACCTCATCTCTACAATAAATCAAAAAATCAGCCGGGCGTGGTAGCGCATGCCTGTAATTCCGGCTACTTGGAAGGCTGATGCAGAAGGATCGCCGGAGCCCAGCAGGTCGCGGCTGCAGTGGCCGGGAGCGGCCATTGCACTCCAGTCTGGGTGACAGAATGAGACTCCAACTCAAAAAAAAAAAATTTTTTTTGTGGAGACAGGGTCTGTCACTTTTGTTATGTTGCCCAGGCTGATCTTGAACTCGGCCTGAAGTGATCCTCCCATCTCAACCTTCCAGAGTGCTGGGATTATAGGTGTGCAACACCACTCCTAGCCAGATTGGACCCATTTGATTAAGGAAAAACCTCCTAGTATTCATTCATTTAACCAACATTTATTATGTACTGCCAGGCATTCTGGTAGAAGCGAGGGATATGGAGGGGGAGTTATTTTAGGTGCAAATATTAGAAACCTAGGTAAGCTAGTTTAGGATAGAAAATTGATGATTGTGCCAGAGGGGGAGTTTACTGGAAAGGTAAGGAGAAATCTTGAGGAATCCACAGAAAGAGTGAATGCTGTGTCTCAAGAAAGATAGGAGCCTCATCTTGGAAAACTATAAGAACCCTAGGCAGTCACTTTTATCTTTCTTAGAGCCTGTGGACTCTTATCTCTGCATATCATGTGGTATCCCTCATCTAAATTTATGCACTTTGATTTCAAATAACCAACCCATACTGCTTAGGGCTTTTAGCACTTTATTCCAAATTCCTGAAAGAGAGGATATGACTGACATAGTTTTGGTCAGGGCTTCACCCCTGACCCATCAGCAATGGCTAAGAGTACAGGGTGGCTTACCATCCCAAAAGGGTTGCCAAGGATTTTGTTGCCATGTGTTGAGAGGTAGAAATAGAGAGGTAGAGCAGGTCAGGTGTTACAATAAGAATCCAATGTGAGTCCCCAAGAATCTTTCTTGTGAGGGAGATAAATAATCAACATACATGTGATAAATTAGAACAGAACATGAAGAGATTAGAAGGATAAGAGAAGGAAAGAGAAACCTAGTGACCTGTCTTGGGATGGATGCCTCATAGAGGGGTTAACACTTAAACCACTAACAATAAGTCTTTTTTTTCTTTTGAGTTGGAGTCTCACTCTGTTGCTTAGGCTGGAGTGCAGTGGCACGGTCACAGCCACTGCGGCCTTGACCTGCTGGGTTCAGGCGATCCTTCCACCTCAACCTTCCAAGTAGCCGGAACTACACGCATGTGTCACCGTGCCCAGCTAATTTTTCTTGATTTATTGCAGAGATGAGGTCTCACCAAGTTGCCCAGGCTGGCCTCGAACTCCTGGGCTCAGGCAATCCTCTCGCCTCAGCCTCCCAAAGTGCTGGGATTACAGGTGTGAGCCACTACACTTGACCAGCCACTAACAATAATGCCTCTAATCCTGACTCTGTTACCTACTCCTTTTGTGTCCCTGGACAGATAACTTAATCTTTCCTTGTATCAACTTATCTTTAAAATGAGAATAATAATAGTAACTTACCTAGCCTAGTTGTTACTGAGATTCAATGACATAATTCATGGAAAGAGTTTAAGCCTATGCCTAGAAAATACTAAATGCTCAAAATAAAGCAATTATTTTTATATCAAGGTTGTGTTATTTTTAAAACTAAATTCAGAAGGAAAAGAATACTAAATCTGTAATTACCAGTAAATAAGGTTACATGATACATGCCTTACTTGAGACAGTTTTGAGTTTATTTTTTAATGCAATACAGGTATATATGCTAAACAGCACTGTGTTTTCTAAAGGTATGCATCAGTGTGTATGTGTATGTATTTTGAAATTAAATTACATCTGGGAGTAAAACAGGATTTCAGATGGTGGTCAAAGGACATTTTTCTTTTCTTTTCTTTTTTTTTTTTTTTGAGTTGGAGTCTCACTCTGTCACCCAGACTGGAGTGCAGTGGTCGATCCCGGCCACCGCAGCCTCGACCCGCTGGGCTCCGGCGATCCTTCCGCCTCAGCCTTCCAAGTAGCCGGAATTACAGGCATGCGCTACCACGCCTGGCTGATTTTTTTGATTTATTGTAGAGATGAGGTCTCGCTGTCCAGGCGGGTCTCGAACCTGCGGGCTCAGGCAATCCACTCACCTCAGCCTCCCAAAGGCGCAGGATTACAGGCTGAGCCACCGAGCCTGGCTCATTTTTCATTTTATAATGACTTTTTTCCATGTCAGATGGTAGGATATAGTAAACATGTAATTACAAAAACTGCTTACTTTTTTTATTTTTTGAGTCAGAATCTCACTCTGTCACCCTGGCTAGAGTGCCGTGGCATGCTCACAACCACCGCGGCCTCGACCTGCTGGGCTCAGGTGATCCTTCTGCCTCATCCTTCCAAGTAGCTGTAACTACAGGTGCAAGCCACCACACCCGGCTAATTTTTTTGATTTATTGTAGAGATGAAGTCTCACCAAGTTGCCCAGGCTGGTCTCGAATCCCTGGTCTCAGGCAGTCCTCTCGACTCAGCCTCCCAAATTGCTGGGATTACAGGCTTGAGCCACTGCACCTGGCCTACAAATAGATTTTTTAAATGACTGTATATTGGTGTTCTTTCATGCTAGTATGATAGGTCCTTATAGATCATTGTAAGTCCTTGTAGTTTCAGGGAGCGACATTTTAGAAGCCTCAGCTTTTGATTGAGTCCTTCACTTAGGCTGTTTTCTTTTTTCCAGGCTCTGTGGTCCTCTACCTTACGATATAATAGTTGATCCAATGTGTGGAACAGGAGCAATACCAATAGAGGTAAAAAAATTTTTTTTTAGATTGGAAAATACAGTTTAATTAGAAAGTAAATTAGAGCACGAAAGAAAGAGAGAAAAGAGATTTACCTTCCCAAGGTATGAGAGGGGGCCAAAGCCAGGAAACATGGCCTGGCCAGTGCTCAAAGAGCCACGTGGCCACACCAGAGTTTAACAGAGCAACGCCAAAAGAAATTTTTTTTTTAGCTTTTAAATAAGCAAGTGATACATCCAGAATGTTCTACACCTAATGGGCAAATTAGACATAATGAAATCACTGTGGTTGGGACAGTGAACCCAAGAGTTTTAAAACAATTACAAAGTAAAGTTGGCACTTTTGTGTAAGAATGTAACTGCTTATTTCAAATAACTATGTGCTACTGGACGAAATAATTTGTGATATCTACTGGATTACAGAAGATGCTGAGAATTATAAACTACTGGTGAATTCCCTTTCTGTAACAGACAAGCTGGTAGACTTGAATGGGAAAGGGTAATTGAAGGCATAAGCATAAACTGGAGGAAGGTGCTTTTCATATCTGTAAAGTAAAATTATGCTTCCTAATCTACTTAAATTCCTGGAAGGGAGTAAAAAGGGGACACCTATGAATATTACCTAGTTTTTTTTTTTAGGAAGTCTGACAGGTTTACATACGAAATAGTTTTCAAAATTACTGTGATATTGAGAAGATTCATAAAAACTGCATGGAGTACAGCAAGAAATGGAAAGGCATTTTCTAAATGGAGAATATTTAACAGTAGGGTCTCCCTGAATCTGTATCATCTATATGTTTGTAAACAATTTAGAAGAGGTATCACTCTTCTTCTCAGCAAAATCACTTACATTTTGTGAAACATAGTAAACTTTTCCATATAATATACTGGAAGCTAATTAAAATGAACCGCAGGGAGATATGACAGACTGCATGAGTGGGCAGAAACTGGACATATGAGCAAGTCCAAAGCAACCCACAAAGGGAAAAATAATCCAAACTGTAATTAAAAAATGATATCTGTGATCTGGGAGTTAAAATCCAATAAGGATTGTTGTTAGCGCTGTAGAATGAAGTGATGAATGGGTAGGTACCGGGCTTTTTTGTGTGTGGAGTTTTTATTGGTTTGGTTTTGTTTTGAGTTGACTTCTCACTGCACTGTGTCACCTTGGCAAGAATCCGGTAGCACGCTTACGGCCACTACAGCCTCGACCCATTGGGCTCAGGTGATCCACCTCAGCCTTCTGAGTAGCTGGAGTTACAGGCATGCACCACTATACCTGGCTAACTTTTTGATTTATTGTATAGGTGAGGTCTCACCACATTGCCCAGGCTGGTCTCGAACCTGTGGGCTCAGGCAGTCCTCTCACCTCGGCTTCCCAAAGTGCAGGGATTATAGGCATGAGCCACCGTGCCCAGCTGGGTTTTTTTTTTTTTGATAAATGAAAAATGACTTTGCGAAAGAAAACATAAATAAATAAATAAAGTCCAAGAAGGAAATCCTTGTAGTCTACATGACTACTGTGTTCTACTAGTGACAGCTAAAGAAATTATTCTAGCTAAAGAAGCCTGAACAGTGAAAACCTGCTTGTGGTTAAGAAGGATTTTGGGAATGAAGCAGAGTGTTGTTTTCTAGCATTAAACCATGATATACATATGAAATAGCAAGTAAGAGCAAGAAATACACAACATAGCTAGAGAACAGAGTAAAAAAGAAGGAAAAAAAAACCAAAAATACTTTGAGCCCTTCCATGCAAGAGTAGACATGAAGGTGCCGGTGTAGAAAAACCTAAGCTGATATATGATCAAAATGAGTAAAATTATGCAAAGAATTTACAGGGTGTTTTTACAGATTGGTTCACTAAAGTAGAAAATACTTGATCCAGATTACTTGTTTTAAAGCTTGGAAGTACTGTAAAACTCAATTCTTTCCAATAATGAAAACTCAAATAGGTTTTAAAAACAAAAAAATGAGCCGGGCTCGGTGGCTCGGCCTGTAATCCCGTGCCTTTGGGAGGCTGAGGTGAGTGGATTGCCTGAGCCCACGGGTTCGAGACCCGCCTGGGCAGCGAGACCTCATCTCTACAATAAATCAAAAAATCAGCCAGGCATGGTAGCGCGCACCTGTAATTCCAGCTACTCGGAAGGCTGAGACGGAAGGATCGCCGGAGTCCAGCAGGTTGAGGCTGTGGTGGCCGGGAGCAGCCACTGCACTCCAGTCTGGGCGACAGAGTGAGACTCCAGCTGAAAAAAAAAAAATATGTTGGGGAATCAGTGTCACTGAGAGGCTTTCATCAAACTCTGTAGGTCCCTTCTACATCTCTACCCGCCCTAAATTCTGGCATAATTCAGCTTCCCTTTTTGAAGTAATTGTAGGGTTATAGACAGGAGTATGTCATCACCATCAAGTATCTCGTTAAATAAATTATAAAGCGCTGTGTTCAAGGATGAGCGACATGTTACTTTTTTTTTGAATTGGAGTCTCACTCTGTCGCCCAGACTGGAGTGCAGTGGCTGCTCCCGGCTAAATACTTGTATCGTTCCTAACTTAGGGATATGTCATACTAACATTATGGTTGAAAAAAAGCAATACATAACAATTACAGAAAAAAGAATTGAATGGGAAAGCTGGGGAATTCAGG